GTCGACTCCCATGAGGAACTGATGAACGCTTTCTTCCTCTCTCTTCTTTGCTAGGGCTGCCGCCAGTTTTCCCGCACAATCTGTGCAAACACAATCTGGGAATTTGTCGATGTCGGCTAAGTCGTCCCATAATTTCTTCAACTTGCCATAATATGCCATCATGCTAAGTCCCTTTTGTTTACATTCAGATATTTCACGTTTCAGTTGTTGGACGCGAGGTCCGTTCACAACCGAAAAACATGCCTTCAGTTCGTCCCATAGATCAGATGCAGACTCGCCCGTAGAGATCGTGGATCGCAACGATGGTTCAATCGTGTTGCGTATCCATGACACTATAAGCGAATGATTGGTCCACCAATCATCCAAGTCGTCTGAGTCTGGATCCGGCTGCGTTATTGATCGATCAACAAATCCAAATTTCTTGCGAGCCCGTAAGGCAAGGCGCAAGGATTTGGACCATTCGTCATAGTTTGGTCCCTTAAGAACAACCTGGGTTAAAAGCATACCCGGATTGTCGCTGGGTGAGAGATCATATGGCGATATGCGACGACGTCTTTGCACCATGTCGTCATCGTTCTCGTCCACATGATTCTTCGGTGATGCTTTCAGATCCTTTGGGGTTGCCTCGCCTGCCATGCTTGCTGTTCGCCGGAGGGAGATCGTTCACCGTCAAAGGAAAAAAAACGAAGTAGTTCGTATGATGCTGGATGGTAACGTGCGGCTGTAGCACACGAAGGAATAGGTATTTTAGGTTTGCTCCGATACCATGTTACGTAGTAGTGTTTCTGGGCTGAAAAACTATTGTATTCTCTCTTGGTTATTTACAATACAATGGGGAGTATATATATACAGCAAGGTATTCCTAATAGGATTAGGAATTCTAAATAAAAGGAAGCTACCATATACAAGTCTAATACAAATCAAAGACTAATATTCTAATATTCCTTTTCCTTCTCTAACAAGTTGCTTCATAACTGGTAAATTTCATGTATTGTTGCGTTTTTTTTAATGCTTGTGTTTGTGTGCTGGGTTGGGATCATCAGGTATCAGCTGGAAGCACTCGAGAAAGCGTTGAAGCAGAACACCCTTGTGTTTCTGGAGACTGGTTCTGGAAAGACACTTATAGCCATTATGCTCTTGCGCACCTTTGGCCATCTTATTCGGAAGCCTTCTCCTTACATTGCTGTCTTCTTGGTTCCTACTGTCGTTTTGGTTACCCAGGTAATGGGTGCTACCATTTACCGAATGCGCCGTTATTAGTCTTTAACAATGCTGTCGTTATATTGACATATTACGGTACCTGTTTCTTGTTTTTTTTATAGAACCTGCGTCTTGTTTATGTGATACGGAATGAAAGAAAAATCATTTCCATAGTTCCATATATCAATTGTTGGTCAAATTTCCGAACATTGTCCCCATTTTGGCTAATTATACAACACCAACAAATCCCAACTCTGTTGGAGTCTGGGGAGTCAAGATATGTATGCAAACCGTACGATTGTAGACAAACAAAGAGGTTGTTTCCATCACTCAATGCGCATTTACTGCCTAAACACTTCATACAAAGTAAGAAGGAAAGGAGGTTTGATGTGCGTGCCATCTTGTTTTAGTCTGTTTTTTAACGCGAATCTATAACATTGTGAATCCATAATGGCTCCAATTTAGTTGCATTGGCAATATACGCATTCGGGCTAATTCTAGTTGTGTTAATTAAATTCTATGATCAAACAACTAGCAAGGGGAAGCAATAAGGAAGCACACAGACCTGAAAGTGGGAAAGTATTGGGGAGAAATGGGCGTTGATTTCTGGGACGCATGTATGTGGAGTCGTGAAGTCGGGCGACATGAGGTACGAGAATACTTCACACCTATCAACTCTATTGATGAACAATGTGCACTAATCCAAAGAAGTTTAATGTCTTAGGTGCTTATATTGACACCAGCAATATTGCTTTCTGCTCTGAGGCACAACTTTCTTAAGATTGAGATGATAAAGCTTCTGATATTTGATGAGTGCCACAATGCAAGAGGCAAGCATCCCTATTCATGTATTATGAAGGTATGCATAAGTGTGATACTTTGGAATTCTACTATGATTATGTCATAAGGGTCTTTGAGTCTTAGGTATGTATCTTCTGTCTTGTACATGTTGCTTTATTCCTTTTTCTAGGTACAAGTTAGTCTACATTGACTATTCTTCATAAATATTTGGGTGCTAGATCATGAATAAACTATAGAAAGACAAAACAAAACCCATTACACATTTAGGGTAATGTTTGGAATCTTGAAAATGCTAGGGGAAAAAACAATGTTATGGAAAGTTATTTTCATATGTTTGGTTTTATCTTGAAAACAAAATGTTTTTAATGTTTTTCTAATTCTTACATATGTTTAGATTCCTTAGGTGTCATTTGTTTATTTTTTTGATCAAGCGACATCAGGAGAAAGATGTCTACGTAGAGGAGGTCTGTCTGAAACGAGTGGTATACAAATAATTTTTGTTTGTTTTATGTGTTGAATGACAAAACATTTCAATTTTAACTTATAAAGAACTTCAAAAGTATACACCATTTAATTTCAAAAATATACACCATAGAACATAGTCATACACTCGCTCCTTCCAAAACCAAAGTTTCCGTTGCAGTTTATGATGTTTGGTTGACACTATTTTTTAGTTCAATTTATTTGAAAACTGGCGTGTATTAAAAAGGAAAAATATGTACATAATAACCTGACCTTTTGTGCCGTTAGACAAGGACTAAACGTGAAATCATACTGAACTACTAAGGGCTAGGAACATTATATTTGATAAATATGGACTAAATATGAAAAACTCTCTATTATAAAGAATTATTTAGAAAATTTATTCTTTTTAAACCACTTTTGATATAAAAATTAATAAATAGGAAAAGTGTATGATTGTACTTTATTCATAAAAGGTCAAAATTTGTACACCATAAAAAAATAATTCACCAAAATCGGATTGTTGTTAAAACAGATTAATTACTTTTAATTTCTTTTGGAAAAGAAACTAAACTAGAAATAAATTATGATTTCTAAAAAAAATAAAACATGAAGAGAGTACCAAAATAGGAGTTTCATATTTTATATCTACAAAATAGAATACAATGCTAATAATGCCAATATAGTACCAAAACAATATAGTGAGATGCCATTATATTGTGTCATAATGTTACAATGCAAACTCATATTTTGATGATAGATATTATGTTTTGCTCTTATTTAGGGTGATTTCTTATTTCTTTTTAATTTCTATCAATTCTTAACTGATTCTCGTATTAAAAAAATGAAATTTTTGGTAAACTATTTTTTTATGGTGTACAAATTTAGACTTTTTATGAATAACCTATACAATTATACACTTTTCATATTTATTAACTTCTATATTAATTTTTTTTAATTAAAAGTGGTTTAAAAATAGTACATTCTCTAAATAGTCTTTTATAATGGGAGGTTTTCCATATTTATGTTTTCGCTCCTTGCTAATTGGGTATCATTCCATGTTTAGTCCTTGTCTAACGACATGAAAATGAAAAAATAGATGGAGGACCAAACGTGTAATGATATCGAATTAATTAGGATTGTCAACCAAATATTTGATAAATATGGACTAAATATGGACCTAGTTATAAATGACTATTTAGAGAATTCACTATATTAAAAAATTAGCATCTATTTAAAAGGAAAATTTGCATAGAGTAATCCAACCTCTGAATGAGATGTTAATTATACTCTCATCTCTAATGCTTCCTCAGTCCCAAAAACTCTTTCCCCCTTTTTTTACTTGTCCCACAAAATCCTTTCCATTACAATTAGAAAATCACTTTTAACCATACTAATTCTTAACTTACCTATAACATCATACGTTTTACTAATAATCTACACATTACATCATATGTTTACTCATCACATCAAGAGTATTTTTGGATAGTGAATACAAAGATATCTTTCTCTTAATTTTCCTAAATGTCAAAATGAGAATATCGTTGAATAATCACACCTTTAGAGTAATTGCGCAAAATGCACACACTATTTTAATAAACACATCGCAATTTTTCTATAGTCTCCACACCTAGTTGCACTAGAGGTTTAGGATGACCATTTTTAGAAATTAGCATTTTGTTTAGAGAGCAATGCTAAATCAACACTTTTTCCGTTCCGTTCAACTTATTTTTTCTGCTTTTTTTCTTATTCTTATTAAAATCAGATTAGATTAGATCAGATCTAGGATCAGATCAGTTCAGATCTAATCAGATCAGATCAGATCAGATCCAATCATATCAGACCAGATTAGATCCAATCAAGAATTATTATTATTATTGTTTTTTTTGAAGGCAACACAAACTTCATTAATGAATTAAAAGATGAGAAACAAAGTCTGGGGGGATGATAACCACGAGCATGGCTGAGAGTTCGCTCTACGCGCAAGCGTGTGAGCGATACAATTAGCATCCCGAGGAACACGAGATATCTTAAACGAATGAAACCCTCCTAAAATAGTCTTACAATCCTCCAATAAAGAAGGATCCATTCTCGCTTGGACCTTTGAAGGTAGAGCTTCACGAAGGTGATGCGACGACGTTAGTCTATCCTCGAGGTGCAGAACCTAAGGTAAAAGGAAGTGGGTTTATTCACGGAGAGCTGTTCGGTAACGGAGACGGTTGTGGCCCAGACCCTGTGTGACATAGGTAGGCAAGTGTCGACGTACTTTCCTAGGTTGGTCATTTATGATAACACTTCCAAAAGACACCACCCCGGAAGAAGGAAAAATGGCTGCATCCACAAAACATCGAAAAACATCTTGCCCTGAACCCGAGCTATTCTGCCTCACCTCAGTCCTTCCGCCTTGAGAGGATCTACCAGCCTCATCACGAACAGTTTCTCTAGCCCAACTTACCACGGTTTTTGGCAAAGGAACTTTGTGTTCCCACACCGCCTTATTATTAGGAATTGTTATTATTATTATTATTATTATTATTATCATCATCATCATCGTTATCATTATCGTTATTACTCCATACTTTTTAAATTCCATACTTTTACTTGTTTCACTTGATATGATTCTTTCAAAAAATAAATTTAATTTCTCTTGAAAAATATAAGAAGAAAGAAAATGAAACTTTTGTGCGATTACAATTAATGTAGAGAAAAATAAAATGATATGAAGCACAATTTTTTTCTTAAAAATGAAAAAGAATAAACTTTGGAAACAAGTTAAATAGAAAACTGAGAAAGTAATCCTTAATTATTAGACGCCGGAAAAATTATTTTTAAAATACATTGACAATGTCAATCTAATTCTACTTTTAAAATAAATTTTTATTGCTACATGTAATTTGAGTTTCTAAAATTATTACATTATCAAAAATGAATGAAAAAATATTACTACATTATATAATTACATTATAATATGAATGATTATTCTAATATATGTAACTAATTTTATTTAATTAAAAAATGATAATAAAATAAAAAAATATTGATTATATTATAATATGAATTATCATTACAATTTTCAAAAGTTATTATAGAGTCAGATCAAATTATTGATTTGAATTTTAAATCAAATCATACTTAATCAGATCGGATCATATCAGATTCAATCAGATCATATCAAATCAATCAGATCAGATTAGATCAGATCCAATCAGATCAGATCAGACCAGACCAGATCAAATCAAATCAGATCAAATCCAATCATATCAGATCACATTAGAACTACAAAAAATCAAATCAGATCAGAAAAAATAAATTGAACGGAATGGAGCCTGAATCCACTAACTTTATAATGAATGGACATGTTTACCCTTAAAACTTAACCTATATCTTCTCATTCCTCTTTTTGCCGTTTAAAGGGTAGATTTGTTTATTTATCATAAAATAGTAAATTTAGTCAAAAGTGAGTTTGAACAAAAAAATCTAAAATAAATTGATTGAGTTTGAATCGACCCTTTATTTTTCCTTTCCATTTCCTTCTCTAAAAATAAATTTATCTTTCCTTTCCATTTTGAACAAAAATCTAAAATAAAATTATCTTTCCTTTCCATTTTTTCTCTATTTGTCTCCCTATTTTCTTTCCATAGGTCTTTCCAAGTTCCATGACATGGGGTTCCAATGTCATGGAACCTCACCGCTACAAACGGAATGGTTCCCGTGACATTGCCTGACAATGTCATGGGATGATCCGGGGTACTCCGGGACCCCGTTCGTAAAATTGACGATTCCTACTCTCCCTAAACCCAGTAAACCCCCCACCCGCCCCGACTCCAAAGTCAAAATTAACTTGTGGGGTGCAATTGAAGGGGTTGGGGGGTGTGTTCGGGTCGGGGCGGGTGGGGGGTTTACCGGGGGTGTAGGAACCGCCAATTTTATGAATGGGGCATCGGAGCGCCCCCGGGTACATGGGGTTTCAATGTTTTGGGAACCCCACCGTTCTACAAAAGCAGTACTCACACAATTTTATTTTTTCGGTCAATGCCGTTTTCCTCTTTTGTTGAACCATTAACTGTTTGATTATCTTGGTGTTTAATTTTCCACCCCGGTTCAAGTGACATTGAATTTCAATGTCATAGGATGACCCGGGGTATCTACGGTGTTCCGTTCAAAAAATTGATGGTTTCTACTCCCCTATACACCCTGAGTAAACCCCCAACGCCGACCCGACCCAAACCGACCACCCCACCCCCTCCAATTGTACCCCACAAAATGTAGTTGACTTTGAAGTCAAATTTTTTGAACGGGGCACCGTAGGTGCTTCAATCGAGGCTCATGTCATAGAATGACATGAGACACTAATGTCACCCGAACCTTCCCCTTAATTTTCTATCAAGTATAAAAGTTTCCTTGAGCTATTTCTTGGTTTCCAGTCTCTGTAAGTCATATTTGTGTTTATTTCTCATGATTAGGAGTTCTATCATAGCCACTTACAATCAGGAAATGTGCAGCTTCCAAGGATATTTGGGATGACTGCTTCCCCTATAAAGACAAAAGGTTAATGTAACACAGTTTTATAGGTGTTTTTTGTGTGATTGTTAATGAAAATGCTAATCAGGAGCTTTGTTCAAATAGCTTCAAGCTCAGGAGATAGCTATTGGAATGGGATATGCGCCCTGGAAAACCTTATGAATTCAAAGGTTCCATTAGTCTCTCTCTCTCTCTCTGTTAATCTCATTCAATTGAACTTCATATAGAGTGGTACTTTATAATCTATAATGCCTTTTCCATTTTAGATGCAAAATAAACTATTTTCCAAATTTGAGAGGAGATGGATAATTTGGATTTACAACTTTCTAATTATTGACAAAGCTGGTGTACTTTCTTTGAGATTACCATAAAAATAGAGATTTCTTTAGTCACAAGATCTCTAAAAACAATTTATGTTTTCTCATAATAATCATGCTACATTTTTGGTAACTATTTTTGAAAATAATCCCCACTTTGCTTTCTACAGGACAATCAATCATTTGATATCTTTACATGTTTTTTCTCCTTATATATTTGATTCATCCAAATTTCTCATGTTGTATGAAGTTTATCTAGTTTTATGTATTTATTGCTACTTAGTAGTGGGTAACTGATGAAACCATGCTCTTAAATGAAGATCTATACATGTGCCAGTGAATCGGTTTTAGCTGCCTACATTTCATTTCCTACTTCTCAAGTGCGGACTTACAGTGATATTGGCATTCCTTACGAAATGTACGTAAGCATACATGATGACTTACATAGATTGAAAGATGAGGTATGTATCAAGATTGAGCTCCATAGATAGTTTTGCTGTGTGCATGGTCATGCTCAACCTTGATCTTGTAATAATGCATTTTCTTCTCCAATACTGTGTGCTACAAATTTTGTAAACCAGTTTTCCTTTTTTCAACTTGAACACAGTATATTGCCAAGTCTAATCTATCGAAGTCTACCACCAAGGCTGTAAGGAAAAGATTAACACGACTTTTGATGACCTTCTTGTATTGTTTAGTTGAGCTGGGTGTTTTCTTGGCTCTTAAGGTAAATTTTTCCTTGGCATGATCTGGATTTGTCACTTGCATTTCACACAACTGTTTATAACCCTGATTATACATTTTTGTCTGATGTGTCTTAAATTATAGGCAGCCGAGTCTTTGTCCTGCAAAGACAAAGACATCTTTAATTGGCAGAGATTGAATTTGCATGCTGAAAGTGTTGTCAGAGGTTTTTGTTTAGATGCAGCTAAGATCCTCTCAGCTCATATGCCTTATGGTAATAATGCTTAGGTCATCATACTTCGGTGTTAAAATTAGTTGTTCTCTTTTACTGATCTTTGAATCGTCTCATATTTTTTTGTAATTTTTCTCATTTACTGTGAGTATAGGAGCACAGTCTTATGTCAGTAGTGATCTGCAAGGTGATACGGATGCTGGATATCTTACTTCCAAGGTCTTTTCTTTAATTGGGATTCTTCTTGATTACAGGTACATGCAACTAACTCACTTCAAAAAGGATCTTAAATTGGTGAGGTCAATCTCACATTTGCATAAGACTAGCATAAAAAGATTTCCGCCTTGGTTCAAATGACATTGAATCTCATTGTCATGGCATGACATCGGGTAACTACTGTGCTCTGTTGGGCCCTAAAGTTGGTACCTACGCCCCTAAAACTTGCCTAACCCCCTGCCCCTTCTTCAGTTCACAGATTGGCAATAGTAAAACTGTTGTCAATCAACAAAATGGAGTGGGGGAGGGGGGCAGGGGGTTATGGGTGGTAGGGACCACTTTCAAGCCTAACGGAGCACCGTTGGTGCCCGGACCAATGTCATCTTATGACATTAAGGTTTAATGTCAATTGAACCTTGTCGAAAGACTTGTTTGGATTATTCACGAGAGATCAAAAGTTTACTAAGATTTGCGGTTGAACTAGCTAATTCAATCTTATAATGTGGTATGGCCCAAGTGTGTTATGACGCAGTTGGGTAGCTCCAATTCAACCTTCAATTCTTCCATGGTAGTACACCGGGTTTTGGCCTATGTCGTTCGCCCAGTTGTCTGTCTTGATCACCGGCTCGTGCTGATTTAACTCTATTTTTCATCTAGAAGTTCAACGGCATGTGACCCGTTTAATGAGTTTATTTGTCTAGGAGTCCAGTCCAATGACCCGTGCTCTTTTGGGTGTTGTCACTGCATTTCAAGCTTTTGTTGCATGGGAGGATAATCCATTTGCAAGTGGCTGAGTAGTTAGCTTCAAAATAGACCGGCTGCCCACTTAAACTGGAGTTAGAATCTCACTTTAAATATTTAAGAGTGAAGGATAAGTTAAGAAGATATTGAGTTGAACTTGCTCAAGCTATTAGATTCAATCTTTTCATGTTGTTTTATCCAAGTGTCATTTGGTCCAGTTGAGTAACTCCAACCCAATCTTTTGGTGGCGTAGGCTACTCAACACGCCATGTCACCCTCTAATTCGAGTTGGACAACTTAATGTGGGACAACTGGGTCCAAACAGATTCCCCAACGGGCTGCCCCAAATCGTAAATCCGTCAGATTCCCTACAAACCACCTAGGACCAGGATATGATGCCATGTTAAATTAGTCCCAGCTCATCCCAAAAAGACCCTAGAAAGTGAGATTCACCCAACTAATGTGGGATACTCAACCGTACAGATGCAGGGCTGTCTAGCGTTATATTGTCTAGGCATAATTGTCCAATGATGATGGGTTAACAGAGCAAGTTCTTTATTGGGTTCTAGAAAAAGTAAACTCTCTACTTACTACTATAGCCCTTTTAAGATTCTAGTATGCATTTCGACATTTCGTGATGTTTGTTTGAACAGGGACATAAAGGACTTGCGATGTATCATTTTTGTTGAGAGGATTGTCACTGCCATTGTCCTTCCTTCTCTATTGAATGAGCTGCTTCCAAACTTAACTAGATGGCAGACGAAGTACACTGCAGGAAATGGATCGAAGTTGCAGGCTCAAAGTAGGAGTGTGCAAAATACAACTGTTGAAGAATTCCGGAAGGGAATTGTAGGCGATACTTCATCTATTTCATCATTTTCCATGTATAATTTAACTAACTCTTTCCAGACTTTGAGCTCCAACATTTGTCTGCAGGTGAACATTATTGTTGCAACTTCTATTCTTGAAGAAGGCTTGGATGTTCAAAGCTGCAACCTTGTGATCCGATTTGATCCCTCCACAACAGTTTGTAGCTTTATACAGTCCCGTGGTCGCGCTCGAATGCAAAACTCACATTTTGTATTGTTGGTAAACCGGTAGGTTTTTTTTCATACAAGTAATCTCTGATTGGAAATAGCATAATGTAATCTTTGTATTCTTCTTTATTTCACACGATCATGGAAATTTGGAATCCATTTTTTTTGGGTCCAATCAGTTTGTTATTTTTTGTTTTTTAGTTTTATTATCTTGCCAAAATTCAGCTTCACAAGACAATAGCCCAATGATATGGATAGACATGTACTTTTATTAATCCTCACTGTATTTATTTTTTCTTTATTTTCAGCGAGGACGTATCTACCCTTGATAAAGTAAAAAAATATCTCGAAAGTGGAGAGATAATGAGGAAGGAATCCTTAAGTCATGCTTCTCAGCCATGCTTACCTCTTGAATCTGATCAATATGATGAATATGCATACAAAGTAGATTCTACAGGAGCAATTGTTAACCTGAGATCTAGTGTGTCACTGCTTAACCTCTACTGTTCAAGGCTACCCTCTGATCGGTCTGTCACATATCTTCAGTTCAAATTTGAAGCATATTCATTGCATGTATTAAATGCAATAATTGGTTATCAATAATTTTCATTTGTAGGTACTTCAAACCAGCTCCCAGGTATGATATTGACAAAGATACCAAAACATGCATCCTCTATCTCCCCAAAAGTTGTCAAATTAAGAAGGTTGAAGTTGAGGGAGATATCAAAATCCTGAAGCAACTTGCATGTCTAGAAGCTTGCAAACAGCTTCATCTAGTTGGTGCCTTGACAGACAATCTTGTACCTGAAATTATGGAGGAAAAAGAGGACACACAAGAGACAGGCAATTTTCTCAATAATATCATCATTACCTTTTATTCTCAACAATCTCTGTTTATTTGTCATTTCATAGTAGTAAAGACAATGTTTGTCTGAATAAAATTGTGACTCTTCACTTGCTTATGTGAACAGGATGTGTGCATTACAATGATAAGCAGCCAAAATATCATCCACCTGAGTTGATTGGTTGTCATGGCAATGATCCTGAAACAGTATTCTATTGCTACCTTATTGAGCTTTCTCAGTACTCATATCAGGATACTCAGCTTCAGAATGTCATTCTTGCCGTGAAGATGAAGCTTGAATTTGGTGATGAGAAGTTAACTCTTGATCTGAATGTTGATGGGGATGTCCAGAAAGGGCGTTTTTATAATGTTGGGGAGTTCAAGCTAACTTCTGAAAAGGTTTGTGTAGTTTTACCCATATACAATTACCACTAATTAAAATAAATGATATGTTGAGTTAATTTTTGTTGGTCATTATTCTTCTTTTTCAGATCAATAGTTGTAGGATGTTCCAACTTATTCTTTTAAGTGCACTTATGCACAAGGATTTGAATAAGTTGGCTGAAGCTTTGGACAGATCTCGTAATGTAATGGGCTTTACAACTTTTGATTATCTCCTTCTGCCTTCCTCGGGTTCCAGCAGCAACCCTTCAGTTAATTGGAGCATTGTCAATTCTCTGTGCTTTTCTTCAAGAGACAACAAGACAAATCATACAAACTGCTTATCTATGCATGGTTGTAGTCCTGTGCATACAAAGACTGGTTTGGTGTGTAGCTGCAGGTTGAAGAATTCTCTCATATGCACACCACATAATGGCTCTTTATACTACATTACTGATATTCTGCACACTTCGAATGGAAATTCAACTTTGAAGATGAGAAAAGGGAAATCCGTAAGTTACAAAGACTATTTTAAAGAAGGGTATGTTTGTTCCCTTTAAATAAATATGCCAATGTTAAAGTTATAAATTTCATTCAAAATACATTACGCAAATGACTGCTGATTACAGGCATGGGATTGATCTATCCTATGAAGGAGAAGCACTTCTTAATGGGAAATTTATGCCTACGGTGCAAAATTACCTTCAAAAATCTAGTACTCAGAAAGGTTGGTAGTTTGATATATTGCTTATTATTCATCACTACTATCATTATTTTCCTATCGTTATTCGCAGTATTGTTATGATATCGGGCAAATACTTCCGTGGTCCTCATGTCCATTCCAATTATATAAACCTTGCTGATGTGGACTCCTTAATATTAGTATTAGGATTAGGATTAGGGGATTAGGATTATAATTAGGATTATAATTAGGATTAGGGGATTAGGAATTAGGATTATGATTAGGATTAGGATTAGGGGATTAGGATTAGAATTAGGGGATTATGATTAGGATTAGAATTATGATTTGGATTAGCATTAGGCACATTAGCCTTGGTGAAACATGCTTTTTTTCAACATTAGCTTCTAAACTCAACAACTTTTGTGAGAAGGTCCAGGAATTAAGCGTGGACCTTGAGTGCACGGAATCACCACTCATTATATAGCACTTTCTTGACAACACATAGTTTTTTATGGGGTTTTGCTCGGGTAAATCCCACGATGTGAATGAGCAATGTTAAAATAAATTTTTTGTATCACAGATTATCATATTTTGTTGGGCGGGCAGCCCGTCTATCCAGATCCAGTAGGGAAAATTAGACCTAATAAAGGAATTATGTTCTGAAGATAGTTGTATTGGGAAGTAACTATGTTCCTAGTTTTTTAATCAAGCATAGGAGAAAGCCATAAGCACGAGCGTCTTTTCAAAAATGTGCAAAATTCGTACACTTTTGAAAAGGCACGTGCTTGTAGCTTTATGTTTCCTTCTTTTAAATCACGACCCCCATTTCCCATGGCAATCTGACATTCTATAACATGATAATTTAAGTTGGAATTAATTTCATTGTGTTGATTTTTTAATGTCCTATCAAATTCTATAGGTGACTTGCCAAGATAATACATGATCTATTCTCATATTTCTATACACACACACATTCTCCCTCCGTCCCATTGAATTCTTTACACTTTTCTTTTTTGGGCGTTTAGAAAAAACTTTACACTTTATTCCATATTCCATATTTTGGTAATGAATATGTGGCTACCAACCATTCCCTCTCCTCTAAACAAATTCTAACCACACACTTTTTACTTTTTAAAAATTTTCTTAAGCTTTGTGAAGTCAAAGTAACTCTCAGGAATTTTATGGGACGGAGAAAGCATGTGTGTGTATATATGGACAACATTCTCCCCATTCACGGAGTTTGCTCACAAATAGTGCATTACCTAACTTGAGTCACTCTTAATTGTTTTTTGTAGCACCACGAAATTCATCAGTAGAACTGCCTCCTGAAGTTTGTTCAGTAATAATGTCTCCAATAACATATGATATATTGTGTTCCTTCACATATGTCCCATCGATTATGCATCGGATAGAGTCCTTGCTGCTTGCTCTGAACTTGAAAAAACTGCATATGGATCACTGCCCGCAAAATGTTAATGTGCCAATCTATAAGGTATGGGATTCTGTTATCATGTTTTACTTTCTTATTCAGTCTTTGTAGCATTTCATACATTTGAAGGAAAACATTCTCTTAGGTGCTCATCACACGCTATTCTCACATGCTACATTTGTTATGGTTTAAAAAAGCAATTTAGACTAGGGTCTTTCGGGAACCTTCTCTACCTTTATATGTAGAATAAGGTATGCGTAAAAAGGTACACCCCCCCTCCCTGAATCACTTTTAGGACCTTACTGGGTTGTTGTTGTTACAAAAGGAAGTACAATGACATCAAAGTTCAAAGTACAACAAACAACAATAAAGTGAAGGGGCAAAGTTTTTGTTTGAAAAAAGATGACTAATTTTCCCAACATTACAATCAAACCTAAATGTATTAAAACTTTTAATGTTCTGCTGCACATTTACATCTTTTCTTTTGTGATACTCACTTGCAACAAATATCGTTGCAAGCTTGCTAAATGCGTGCACACACACACACGCATCTGATATGAACCGTGGCCTGTCAGTTTGTCAATATGGCTCAAGGTAGTACCATAAGTTAATTTTCATCTCTCTCTCTCAACATATGGTTCTCTCCACCGATCAAATTAGAAAATCTGCAACCATAAGCTCTATCTCATTCTTAGTTAAAATGTATGCGGTTCACCTCCTCATATGATACCTCATGTAACGACTTGTGCTTTTCTGTTCATGTGTTAAAAACTGTTAGATCTTGGAAGCGACGACTACCAAGAAGTGCTTAGAAAACTTTCACCTGGAGTCTTTAGAGACATTGGGAGACTCGTTTCTAAAATATGCTGCGGGTCAACACCTATTCACAACTTATCAAAATGCTCACGAGGGGCTTCTTAGTTTGAAAAAAGAAAAAATGGTTTCAAATGCTACATTGTGCAAGCTGGCATGCAGCAGGAATATTCCTGTAAGAATTTTAATGATCATAATATACCTCCATGTCAATGTTCTTTAGATGGCAGGTGGAAACTGGATATTAAACTGGCCCAATATTTTAGTTTTTTTGCTCTCATCAAATTGCAGGGATTTATTCGCACTGAACCATTTGATCCGAAAACATGGCTCATTCCTGGAGATTATTCCCCAGACAAGAACTTTGATGTGGACTCGGTATCGCCTTCAAGGAAGATCTACAGCATGGAACGTAGAAAGATGAAGGGTAAGAGAGTGGCTGATGCAGTTGAAGCCCTTATAGGTGCATATGTTAGTACTGCTGGAGAATCAGCTGCTTTATCATTCATGGCATGGCTTGGTTTGGACATCCATTTTGATGTGAGACTTCCCATAACAAGGTGCTTCCCCATCAGTGCGGACAAGTTTGTGAACGTAGAGTATGTAGAAAATTTGCTCAAGTATAAATTTGGTGATCCTTCACTGCTTGTTGAAGCTCTCACTCATGGTTCCTTCATGCAATCTGATATTCCACGATGCTATCAGGTATCCCCATCTGTCCTAAAATAAACTGTACAGTTCGATTTCCGGTTCGTCCCAAAATGAAGTCCCATTTACCTTTTTGGTAAGGAATATGTGGCTATCATCGTTTTTCTCTCCTTCGAAGCAATTATGACCACTCACATCAGTTTTCAACACTTATCTGTACTTCGTGTCTGGTCAAATTGGACTTTTAATTTGGGAGAGAGGGAATAATATCTATTGTTCATCTCGTCACATTGAATTACTAATTGTTAGCTTATATTGTATTTCTACACTAATCAAGTATGCTGATTTCATGAACTACAATATTGTGCTCCTTCACTGCATGCTCACCAAAGTTAATCAAATGGATGCTATCAACTTAATGAAGATGTAAAGATTTTCATGATTACATAATAATCAAAACGTCTCAAAGAAATGTTGGGAGAATGTTGTTATATTAATAATAATATATAATAATAATAATAATTAATAAACTCTCTTGGACTTCTTAATGATGGTGGGAAAACCCCCTTATCCATTAGTGGTAAAGCCTTAGCTTTTCAATATAAGTTCAAATATTGTCCATTCCTATAGGTTACCAGAATTGGGTTTGAAAAGTAAATATTGCATTACAAGTTATTAAATGCATCCTTCATAGACTATTTTTGAAATATGTTAATAATTGATTNAAACCAAACCAACAAGCCCATATATCCCACTCAAGAGTAGGGTCTTTTGGGGGGAGGATTCGATGAGATCTATACTTGCATGCATTATTTCCTTTAAATGAAAATTGGTTGCATCTATACTTCACACATGTTTTGCTGAACTTAAAGTTGCTATTGTGTTATGCAGCGGCTAGAGTTTATTGGAGATGCTGTGCTAGACTATATTATCACAGTCCATCTATATTTCAAGCATCCCGGACTAACGCCTGGTATATTAACCGACCTGAGGTCCTGTTCGGTTAACAACGACTGTTATGCCCTATGCGCAGTGAAGGCTGAATTACACAAGCAAGTCCTCTATTTTTCCACTGACCTTCAGAGGCATATAACAGACGCCGTGGAAAGGGTTGAGAAGTTGTGTATTTCCTCAACCTTTGGATGGGAATCAGAGATAAGCTTCCCTAAGGTATGTTGGATCACCACAGTTCTTTTGACACCCGAATTTGGTGTCATATTATGACACTGAGCTGCAACTTTTTCGGGTGTTAATAACAGGTGCTTGGAGATGTTATTGAGTCTCTTGCAGGGGCAATCCTCGTTGATTCCGGTTTCAACAAGGACAAAGTTTATGAAAGCATAATTCCTCTTTTGGAGCCAATGGTTACCCCAGAAACTCTGACTCTCCATCCAGTGCGCGAGCTATATGAACTGTGCCTAAGTAGGAACTATAAAATGAAGAAGCCTCGCGTTACTCTTGAGAATGGAATTGCAACCATTACAATGGAGGTGGAGGATGCCAATGGCGTTACCCACTGCGACTCGTGCACTGCCCCTAACAAAGTTGCAGCCAAGAAACTGTCTTGCAAGAATCTTTTAAAGAAGTTGAAATGCCTGAAAGGATGAGAGGACATTGCCTTTATATGGTCAATCATTGGAATATCATAGGCATTAGAGAGGTTAGTTTTATGCCACTTTTTTAACACATTTATAAGGTTTTTTTGTTTTCACAGGCATTTGTTGTTTTTGCGATGTCTTTAAAGGCACACATCGCACAAACAAACAATTATCTGTGAGGACAAAAAATCTTGTGAGTGTAAAAAATGGTGGCGTACAATTTAGCGGGAACAGATTAGGGTACATAAAGCACAATCCTATAGATAATATGTTCTTTTAAGTTGTCAATGGCCCAACTTCAGTTTTATCTCTTCAAAATTCCAAGTTTTTAAGCTCTTTTAGAATAGCCAAAGAGTAGTAGTTACAGTTAATTTCAAGTCCCTAAATTCTACGTAAATCGTACGGAGTATATATCGTTTATACGAAAAGTAAACCTCATTTTGTTAAAAGTATAAACTATAAACAGCAAAAACAATAAACTCCCACCCTCTTGCAAAAAAGAAGAAATTTCTAAACCATTTGTCTTAAAAAGAGTTCCATCTATAATCTCTATATCCATCTATAACAGGGGAAATCTGACTTTGTACCCTCAAAAGGCTGCAAAAAAATTAAAATGCACTCTCATTTCTTTCAAATTTCATAGTCTACCTATACTGTGAACGGTAAATAGAATAGAAGAATGAAGAATTATCCTTTAGCCCACCTTTAAAGTTATATTTTCTTATGCATAACCTTCAGAAGATTACCCTGTATTACATAGTATTATTATTTACTTTTCATGCTCTATTGTTATAATAATTCATACTATTACTATGGCCAGGAATTCTTTTCATTTTTTTCTATATATACTGCTTGACTTTCGTTATTTAATAAGATCAATTATTATTAAATTGTATTATGGTATTAGAACTGGATTTTCGTGGCTGTTAGCATCAGACTTGCGCTTCAATGAATCCTCATTGAGTTTTAATTAAAGCATGTTGGTTCTGATTGTCATTTTGTACAAGATGAGGTCACGACTGACACTATACCTACTCATCATGTTCCGTCTTCAAGACAACTAGCTGATATTCTCACATGATCACTATTGCTTGCTCCGGTCCAATACTTGTACTCTAAGCTGTTCAACGTTACTGTTGATGAGCTTGCAAGGGGATAGTAGGAGAAATAGAATATTATTATCACGACTATTTACTTTCTTTATTCTACTGTTATCATAATTTATATTTCTACTATGGTTAGGATTTATCTTTGTATTTTCTATATATACTGTTTGAACTTTCATTATTCAATAAGACTGACTATTATCAAATTGTATCATAAAGTAATTTAAGTTCAACAGTGATGGAAATCACAATTTTGGAACGTCGGCAAGATAAACTCGATATTAGGTTGACATTGCACCGAACAACAAAATCTATTAAATAAATAATAAATAAAACGGAGAGAAATTATTTTTACGTGGAAACCCAAATTGGGTTAAAACCACTACTTTTGAGTCTGTCTTAGGGAACGAGATGGACTCAGAAGTTATATGACTTTGTCCATTGTCTCGTGGAAGAGGGTTTTTCTCATTACCTCGGAAGAGGACTTCTTACTTGGAGAGACTTGGTGCCTCTTGCAAGATGACTTTTGTAGAGTGCCTCGAAAGAAGATTTATCTTTTGGAACTTAGTGCCTCGTACGCGAGGATTTCTCTGGGTGTCTCGAAGAGAAAGCTTATCTTTAAAGAGAGTCATGCCTCGTAAAAGAGGACTTTTCTTGGGACTCTGTCTCGCAGGGAGGGTTTATATTTGGAACTTAGCACCTCATAGGAGAGGACTTCTCTGGGCAGCTCGGGGAGAAGGCTTATCTCGGTGCCTCGGGAAGAGGGCTTATCTTTTGGTAGTTGGTGCCTCCGGAGAGGATTTTTCTCAGTACATCGGGAAGATGGGTTTCTCTTTTGGAACTTAATGCATCGTAGTCGTAGGAGAGCACTTCTCTGGGTGCCTCAGAGAGAAGGCTTATCTTTGGAGGGATTCATGCCTCGTACAAGAAGGCTTTTCTCAAGGTTTGATGCCTCATGGAAGAAGGCATTTTTTCTTTCTTCGGGAGCTTCTTAACCGCAACTTTGATTTCTGATGGTGGTTGGGCGCTCCGCTCTTATTGATGGATAGGCATTCCCTACCCACCTCTCTCTTGATCTTACATAGAGGACCTTTATCTCGCGACATGAGTCTATTGCTAGATCCAGTAGTCGTGATCATCTAACTCAATTTTAATTTGTTTACTGATCTATTTCTATTTTTTACTATTTCTCAACATTTACAAAATATTTACCGCACTGCCCGGAATATTAACTTTTTTATTTCTGCCAGTCTCCAAAAAGCTTATCTCGAATTAGAATCCGCTAAACCTTATTCCCTCCGTCCTCTCACTGGGGTCGCTGGAATGCTCGCTGTTGCTTGTCGTTAGGGCTGACTGCTGCTGCCTTGATTTGTTGCACACTAGACGTTGGAGGTTCGTGATACGCCGCTGGTCACTAGACGTCGGAGGCTCACTTGACACAGGACGCAGGACAACCTCTAGACACTAGATGTTAGAGGCTCATTGGACACCGAAGATGCCGGATGCTCGCTAAATGCCCTAGCTCATTGGACAACGTAAGCTTAATGGACGCTGGAGGCTCAATGGACGTCGAAGGCTTGATGGAGGCTTGACGGAGGCTCGCTTGACGTGCCCTAGCTCATATCAACAACCTCGTGAAACTAATGAGAACGCAAACATCAAGGATGTCGGAGAGGGAGCTGAAGATGCACACCGACATGGTGGAGGTAGCCCTTGCAATGATCAAAGGGGGAAATCAGATTTGTACTTTATAACTTTTTAGTATTTGCAATTTTAAGCATGTTAAAATTTTCCCCTTTTATCTACCTATATACTCCCGCCTAAAATTGTGGGTCTAATCTTGAGGTATGGGCTGGTTTACTGTTTTGGTTCATTTCTTAATTAAAGTAGTTTGGACCAATTTTGGATTAATTAAAAAACAATTTTTTTAATAATCTAGCATCTCAACAGAGAATAATATTAAAATAAATTTTTAAAAGAATGTTAAAAATATTCCTACTGATGATAATAATTACTATATTTATTTTGCTTATTATTGAAACCTATTATTTTTATGATTTCTTTGAGTCTCTTTTTATTAATCGGGTCCAGAATCCCAAAAGTTTAACCAAATTTTGCAATTTCTTTCTCAACAATAACACATGCATTCAGAATTAAAAGAATAATAGTAAAATTATTATTATTATTATTATTATACTGACAATTGGAATTAAAAATATTAATAATAATATTAATACATATTCTAAACATAACATATAAAACAAATAAAGAAGTGATGCATGCACGACCACTCCCTTGCCCTCAACTTCCTGTAATATCTGCCTGAAAAAAGGCAAAATTATAATTAGTATTGGTATATTAAAATTTTAAATTTGTTTATACTTCTTATAATAATAATAATAATAATAATAATAATAATGATAATAATAATAAGATAAACAGGTAAATGAATCTCATCACCAGGATCGAGGCAGGAAAACAATGTATATTATTACCTTTGAAGATAAACAGGTAAATGAATCTCATTGTGGAAGTTATTGTATCATAATAAACATGTTTCGAGTTGCTATACTATCCATATGCTAACAGAGAACCTTTTAATTTGTTTATAAATTTAAAGGGGATTGGATGCACACTATATATGGGACCGAAAAGGGAAGGTCAACACAATACTTCTAATTATCCAATTATGTCGTACGTCCTAGCACGTACATGGGTAAGGAGGTTAAATTTTTCAATTAGTAGTAGATGATTTCCATAAGTACGAATTTTGTAAGTGTATGAATCTGAAGGATGTTTTAATTTTTATGATATATATTGGAGAAATGTTTCTTCCTTTTTAGTTTATTTTTAAGTTTTCTCTATGTTGTGTTCCCCATGCATGTAATTATATTAAAATGAAGTGATGAAACTAATTAAGCCTAAATTATATTGGGTACTTGCTTCTCTCCGTGCAATGTTCTTGATTCTGATTTTAATGATTACTTCTAAAGTCATATATAAAAAAAAGGGTTACATTAGGACCATTTTTATCAAATGTTTAACTAAATTCACAGTTGCATGTAAACCCTAACACTATGTTTGGTTCAAGGAAATAGGAAGGAAAAGAAAAGAAAACGGTTTTCCCTCAAATTCCTCACCAAAATGGGAGGAATTTGGTTTTCTCTCATCTTAGTACATTTTGCTATCTCATTTTCTTTTCCTTCCACTTTCCTTTTCTTTTCCTCTCTAGCCAAACACGAAAAATGTTTTCCTTCACATTTTCTTTTCCTTTCCCTGTCAAATTCCTTAAACCAAACATAGTGTAAAAGGAAATAACTTGATAAAAGAGTGTTGAAAGATAGTTCCCTTTTACACATGTATTGCTAGCTCATCACTTGGAATCAAATAGAGCTTGGTAACAAAAAACAATGTCCGAGACTTTTAAATACTTTTAAAACATAAGCTGGCTATTATAATGTAAATAAGACATTTAGCCTTTTCAAAAAAGAGACAGGAGATGAATATTAAAAAATATTTTTTTCTGTTTACTTTGATAAAAAAAGTACTATAAGTGATGAATGATTTTTGAGATTCAAGTGGGTGTTTTTTAGATCCACGCTTATCCTCTTTAAACCACTCTCTAAAGTATTATTTCTAAAAACCACTTAAACCAACCAAACCTATAAATTTCTTACCGCCTTATGTTATATATTCTGAGCACTCTATTGATAGAAGCTTTTCATTAGAAGAGATTACCAAGTATATGAAGCATTACAACAATGAATTTTAAGTTTTTATATTCGTCTCTTTTGAATGCGATGGATTTATTTTGTAATGTTTTTTGGTAAGCTTATACTCTAACTTTATATTTCTTCAAAGATGTTGTCTAAGGACAAAGGTCTGACACAATGAAGAAACTGAGAAAGAGTGATAAAAATCTACGTAGCTAGTGAATATGATTCCACTATTTTACCTTTGGTGACCAATAGTGATAAACAGAAGAGCAATTCAAAGTGTACCTACACTTATCACTTATGGAATTAGTACCTACACAGAAAAACTTAGTATTATTAGTGTACTCAATTTATATTTCAAATCCAGTAATGAATTAAAACAAAATAAATCATTAATTCCTACCTTGCATATCATTACTTATCAAAATGAGTCAATAGTGGAATATCTACCATAAAAAATTTAGGAGTATCAGCATAGTAACATAATAATTCAGATCTCAAATTTTAATAGAAATGGGTAGGAGATTGTGGGACGCAATTTTTTTGAAACATGTAAATTTTTTTGGGACGGAGGGAGTACATTATTACCCCCTCCACCCAACGCCATTCTCCAAATTTTTTTAGAGGCCGGTTCCGTAGCCACTGGATTCCAGTGGCCACGGAAGTCACTGTCCTCCTACGGAGCTCCGTTCATGAAATTGATGATTCTTACCCCCCAACCCCCCACTAAACCCCCCTGCCAAGTCTCGACCCAAACTACTCCCCCCACCTACGTCAATTGCACCTCGTAAGTATAATTGACTTTAAAGTCAAAAATTTTGACTTTATACTTACGAGGTGTAATTGACGTAGGTGGGGGGAGTAGTTTGGGTCGAGACTTAGGGGGGGGGGGGTTAGGGGGGTAGGAATAATCAATTTCATGAACGGAGCTTTGTAGGGGGCAGTGGCTTCCGTGGCATGGCCATTGGAATCCAGTGGCTACGGAACCGGCCTCATTTGTTTAATGGTGCTATCACTAGGGGTGGGCACGGGCCGGTCCGAGTCAAAATTTGTATAAACCAGACTCGAATTGTTTTTATTAAAACGGTTCGGGCCGGAATGGGTTTTGAAAATTTTAAAATTGAAACCGGACCTAACCCGGCTTGTTTGAAACGGGCCGATTCCACGGGTCAACGGGTCCGAACCTATCATGATACTAATATTAAAAAAATAAAGGGATAATAAATTAGTTTAAGTCATCCAACACAAAAAAAGAGGCGTAAATGAAAATAAAACAATGATAAGAGGGGCATGAGAGTAAAGTGTATACCCCATGATCATCCAACAACAACAACAAAAGAAGACAACCACATTTTGGTATTATAATGTCAATGGGTTCCAAAAAGAACAACATTCACAATCTTCATGGATTCCAGCTTTCATATAAAATGAATTATAAAATATTTATATTACCTTGTAAATCTCCTTCAGTTATTTGGAGAGAAAGAAATATTTGTTTACTATTATAGCCCCGGATAACTTTTATATGTTTACATGTTTTCATTGATCATAGGGGCAGACACACTTGAATAGAGATGGGGGCATATGCCCAACGGCATACCCAAGATTTCTGGAGAGCGGGTTCAATTTTTGTACTCCCTCCGTCCCTAAATAAACTTCCTCTTTTGTTTTTCATTGTCCCCAAATAAACTTCTCTTTTCCCTTAAAAACCCCTTTTACCCCTTACTTTTTCATACCCTACCTATCATATCATACCTTTTTACTAATAATCTACATATCAATCTTACTTTTACACATCACATCAAGGGTATTTTTGGAAAGTCAACACAAAAATATCCCTCCCTTAAATCCTTAAAAAGTCAAAAACGGAAGTTTATTTAGAGACGAAGGGAGTATATGTTAGTCTGTCGGACATATTACTTCTAATAAGTTTGTTGATTTTTAGTTTTAAAAAATGACAAGCACAAAAGAGAAAAATTAAAGTTAATCAGAAAATACAAGAAGATACTTTATTCGTGTAGCCTCCAAAGTCAAAATTAACTTGGAGGTGCAATTGAAGGGTGTGGGGGTGCGTTCGGGTAGAGGCGGGGTGGGGGGTTTACCGAATGGGGTTAGGGAGCATGAACCGTCAATTTTACAAACGGGACACCATAACGTCTTCAGGTCATCCCATAACATGGGGTAGACATTTTTCAAACACTTAACAAAAGGTACATAACCATATTAGTCTTCTTTTTTAAGAGAATAACCATGTTAACATAAAAATGCACGGTCATGAAAATATTTCATCATTTCTTTACATAAATTTAAACCAACAAATTTCATATATTTTCATACTTTGTGAAAAATAAATTAAATCGTACCCAAAAAAATTATCCAAAAATTGAATATCTCTAATTAGAATCTCAATTTTTTCAGAAAAAAAAACTAAAAAGAGGTCTATTGATTCGAAGAGAAATAAAAACACAAGAAGGGAATGTAATTTGGAGGAAGAACGCTCTCGAGCAGCGTTAACAAAGAATGAGAAGAATAACTTGATACAGTATAATGAATCACGTTGAACGCTTTAAAGTTCAAAGCTATTTTTGGATATACGAAAATTTTAATCGGATAATACATTAATAAAAAACAAGCACTGAAAATCGGATGTCTCAACCATTCTTACGAGACTCTATTTATAGAGTCAAAAATTGATGATCAGACAGGAACGTTCGCGTAAGATGCGAATGTTCGTGCGAGAAGATAAATTCTGAAAAAACGCAAAAGTTTGCTTCAGGAGACAAACGTTCGCGCGAAAGAATTCTTGCGGTTTAAGGATTAATTTGGTGTTTATCCACGCGTCCAAATCTCTTAACGTTTGGACTCCGTTCACGAAAAACTGATGAAGGATTTACTTAAACAAATAATGTCTAATGTTAGGATATTATTATTATCACAAATAATATTGTGATATATTTGATTGATGTACATTACTCCATTATGGTACCATTACATGACATTCCCAAATGAGTCCTACCACATCCGTATGTCCAAGCTAAGGGAGATGCATGGCATTGATATTATTTAGTGGTTACTTGCCATCCATACACATCCGTCCAAACTGGAGCAGCAACACATGGCATGGAGAATGTCCTCTTCCATTTTGTTTGTGTTCCTAATTATTTCACAGTAAATATTGATATATAGGCATGCTTTGTACAATGGCAGTGACACACACGAAATAAACAAAGCAATTCCTTTGCTTCTCTTTGAGAGTTTATCATGGTATCGGAGCCTTAAGGGTTCAAATTTTTTTTCTTTCTTCTCTTCTCTTGAATAGCCTTGCTGAGGAATCGCAGGCGACTATGTCATCCGAGGAGTCAGTCACGACGAACAAAAATAAAACCTCCGATGAAATTCCGCAGCGACGCACGATCTCTCCGTACGATCTTCATGCGAATGATAATCCCGGATTGATCATTACACAAGTTGTCTTGAAAGGTGAGAACTACGAGGAGTGGGCGCGTGCTATTCGCACCGCTCTTCGGGCACGGAAAAAGTTCGGCTTTGTCGATGGGTCTATTCCGCAACCGTCGGAGGATTCCGGCGATCTTGAAGATTGGTGGACAAACAACTCCTTGATTGTTTCGTGGATACGAAACACAATCGAAACATCTCTTCGCACTACTATCTCGCATTTGGAGATGGCTAGAGAATTGTGGGAAGATATCAAGGCGCAATTTTCGGTGGTGAACGGACCCCGGATTCAGCAAATCAAACGTGAGTTAACGTCGTGCGATCAACGCGGCTTGAGCATAGCCGCCTACTACGGAAAATTGAAAAAATTGTGGGATGATCTCAATGACATTGACCCATATCCCATTTGCACGTGCGGCAAATGCACATGCAATATCGCACAACAATTGGAGAAAAGGCGAGATGAAGAAAAAGTCCATCAATTTTTGATGGGCCTTGACGATGCAATCTTTGGTCACCTTCGGTCCACAATTTTGTCTCAAGAACCTTTCCCTACCACATCTCGCGTCTATCGTGTTTTAACGCAAGAAGAAACTGCCCGTGCCACTCAAGCTCGTACACGTCCGGAGAACACAGCATTCGTTGCGCGAAGTGCACATTTTGATGTTCCTCGTGACAAAACTATGACATGTGGCTACTGTAAAAAGATCGGGCATCACAAGGACTCTTGTTTTCAACTTCACGGCTATCCAGAGGGCTGGGGAGGACGTGTTCGAGGCGGGGGAGGACGTGGCAGGGGTCGTGGTCGTGGGCCCAACACAGGCCGTGGCACAGCGGCTCCCCCACACACAGCACATGTTGCTGCAGTGACTGGAGGCAACGGACAGGAACCCGCCATGACTGACACGATTCCCTCGCTCACAACCGATCAGTGGGAGACGTTTCGTGCCTTGCTTGCATCAGTTAAAGACAGTTCTATAGAAAAACTGTCAGGTATACCTCTTACTAAAACATGGATTATTGACACCGGAGCCACAAATCATATGACTGGAGATTTTCGTAGTCTGTTTGATACACATAGTATTCCGGGTTGTTGGATACGATTACCCGATGGAAAACGAGTTGCGGCTACAACCGCCGGGAAAGTAAAGTTGAATGATTATGTGATATTGAACAATGTATTGTTTGTGCCTGACCTGAGCTGTGCATTGATCTCAGTCTCTCAGTTAATAACAGAGACTAACTGCTTGGTTAAATTCAATGGAACACTGTGTATTTTACAGGACCGAGCCACGATGCAAGTGATTGGTGCGGGTAGGCAGAGTGACGGTCTTTATTATTTTCAGCAATCCTTGAGTGGGTGTGCAATGTCTGTGACAAGGGAATGCTCATTTGACCTGTGGCATCGGCGTTTAGGACACCCATCTGTTAAAGTTCTGTCTTTGTTTCCTCTAGCTAGTAATTTCAAAGCTAGTATCCTGAATAAGGAACCTTGTTCTATTTGTTTGCGTGCAAAACAATCTCGTGCCAGTTTTCCATTAAGTAATAATAAGACTACACACTTATTTCAGCTTGTTCACATTGATGTTTGGGGTCCCTATCGGACACCAAGTATGGAAGGTTTTAAGTCTTTCCTTACTATTGTGGATGATTATTCTCGAGGGACTTGGGTGTATCTTTTGCGTACTAAATCTGAAGTTCCCTTGATCTTCTGCCAATTTTGTGCTATGGTTGCTCGTCAATTCAATGCTGAAGTAAAAACAGTCCGTAGTGACAACGGAACGGAATTTGAATGTCTCGATCCGTACTTTCGTGAGCAAGGAATACTACATGAATGCTCATGTAGAGCCACGCCTCAACAAAATGGGAAAGTAGAGCGCAAACATCAACATATTTTAAATGTTGCTCGGGCTCTCCGCTTCCAAGGTTTCTTACCAATCGAATTCTGGGCGGAATGCGTTCTTGCCGCGGTTTATCTCATAAATCGTACCCCATCAGTCCTATTAAATGGGAAAACTCCCTATGAGATGATGTTTGGGACTATACCAGTGATGTCTCATATACGAGTTTTTGGTTGTCTTTGCTACATTCATAATCAGGATCGACGTGGAGACAAATTTGAATCTCGTAGCCAACCTGGAGTTTTTATTGGCTACCCTTTTGGCAAGAAAGGATGGCGTGTGTACTCTCGCGACATGGGAAAATTTATTGTTTCCCGTGATGTAATTTTTTTTGAAGAAGTCTTTCCTTTTAAGGATTTGGCCCAAGATTCCACTGTAGCACAAGAATTCTCCTACATCGACGATGAGGACATCATTCGTCCGGAGTCACTGCCCAAGGGGGGTTCAGTTCCGCCTCCTCTTGTCACTACTGCCAGCAATTCCGCCGAACAGAGGGAGATCACATCTTCATCATCGGCAGAACCCAGTAACGGGCAGACAGTGTCCCAGCCTGAGTCTCCGACAATTACTGAGCCCATATTGCAGCAGCCAGTAATTCAACCCGAAAATGAATTGATGGGTCGTGGTCATCGTCAGAAAACCAGCAGTGTTCGTCTTCAAGATTACTACACTTACACGGTGGCAAAAGAGAATGTATCGTGTAAGTATCCTTTGACTGATGTTATTGGTTACTCACGGTTCTCTGATCAGCACAGAAGTTATCTAGCTGCCATTGATGTTGTCTCTGAACCACAATCTTATCAAGCGGCACTTAAATCACCGCCATTGGTGCAAGGCAATGAAAGAAGAGATCACGGCTTTGGAGAACAATGATACGTGGCGTTTGGTCCCTTTGCCTCCTCATAAAAAGGCTTTGGGATGCAAAATGGGTGTATCGTATCAAGAGGAAGTCTGATGGTTCAATCGAGCGATACAAGGCACGACTAGTTATTCTTGGAAATAAACAAGTAGAAGGCATTGATTACACTGAGACTTTTGCCCCTGTTGTTAAACTTACGACTGTTCGTGTGCTCTTGGCGGTGGCCGCGGTGCGTAACTGGGAGTTGCATCAAATGGATGTACACAATGCATTTCTTCATGGTGACCTACCCGACGAGGTTTACATGAAGCTCCCACCCGGTTTTCAACCTGAACAAAAGAACATGGTGTGCAAACTCCGAAAGTCTCTTTATGGTTTAAAACAAGCACCTCGTTGTTGGTTTGCCAAACTCACAGGCGCCTTACGACGGTATGGGTTCACTCAATCTTGTTCTGACTACTCTTTGTTCTCCTATACTCGGCCTAGCTGTGTGGTGCATGTTTTAGTTTATGTGGATGACTTAGTTATTGCTGGGGACAATCACCTTGAAATTGCTCGTTTCAAGAAATATTTGTCTGATTGTTTTCATATGAAGGATCTCGGTGCCTTGAAATATTTTCTCGGTGTGGAAGTGGCTCGCAATCCGACTGGGATTTTTTTGAGCCAGAGGAAGTATGCCCTTGATATCATTACTGAGACGGGTTTGCTTGGCAGTCGTCCGTTAGGTGCTCCTTTGGAACCTAATCATAAATTGTCCCTATCAGCTAGTCCTTTGCTTCATGACCCAGGGGCCTATCGACGTTTGGTAGGACGGTTGGTGTATTTGTCTGTTACTCGTCCAGACCTTTCCTATGCGGTGCACACTTTGGATCAATTTCTCCAAGAGCCGAGGTCTGATCATTGGAACGCGGCGCTAGGAGTGGTTCGTTATCTCAAAGGAGTCCCGGGGCATGGAATTCTTTTACGTTCGGACAGTTCCCTTCAATTGACTGGCTGGTGTGATTCCGATTGGGCAGCCTGCCCTCTGACTCGCTGCTCTCTAACAGGTTGGTTTGTTCAATTAGGAGTCTCTCCAATCTCCTGGAAAACAAAGAAACAACAAACAGTAGCTCGATCATCTGCTGAAGCTGAGTATCGCTCCATGGCGGTACTTACGTGTGAGCTTAAGTGGCTCCGTGGACTGTTGAAATTTCTGGGCGTCAATCATTCTTCTCCAATGCAAATATTCTGTGATAGTACTGCAGCTCTTCATATTGCCGCAAATCCAGTTTTCCATGAGCGCACCAAGCATATTGAGATCGACTGTCACTTCGTTCGGGATGAGCTATTACACGATAACATTCGTACATCACATGTTTCTACTCACAATCAGTGCGCGGATATTCTCACAAAGGCTCTTGGCAAGGGTCGCTTTGAAGCTCTTCTACCCAAGTTGGGCATTTATTCACTACATGCTCCAACTTGAGGGGGGGTGTTAGGATATTATTATTATCACAAATAATATTGTGATATATTTGATTGATGTACATTACTCCATTATGGTACCATTACATGACATTCCCAAATGAGTCCTACCACATCCGTATGTCCAAGCTAAGGGAGATGCATGGCATTGATATTATTTAGTGGTTACTTGCCATCCATACACATCCGTCCAAACTAGAGCAGCAACACATGGCATGGAGAATGTCCTCTTCCATTTTGTTTGTGTTCCTAATTATTTCACAGTAAATATTGATATATAGGCATGCTTTGTACAATGGCAGTGACACACACGAAATAAACAAAGCAATTCTTTTGCTTCTCTTTGAGAGTTTATCATCTAAAATAAAAAGTTTCCGGTCAGGGGCTCTGCCCCTTGGACCTCGCTAGGGGCTGCTGCTACTTAGACCCTGATACTCAGGATCGGGGGCTGCCGCCCCTAGACCCCGCTATGAATTTTTAATATCGTTGAACGAGTGCGCACTTAGCACCTCCTATCTCATTTGACAACGTCGATCTATTCAAATTCTTGTCTGATCTAAGTAAATCTAATTACACAAAATAGCCGATGACACTAAAATCACCACCACTTTTGATTTTGTATAAGTGGCGAGAATGAGACATGCAATTGACCCCATTGCACTCTAAAAAAATTACTATTAAGTTTTTTTTACATTCAATAAATATTTGAAACAAAACTCATTTTTCTTTATCATTTCATATGACTTATTTTAAAAAATTCCGGAGGTGCTGCTCTAGGACCTCTTACTAATGGTGTCCCCGTCGAACTGAAATGAGCTGAATTTTTGGATCTCTCATTAATTAATCATTTGTTAAAAGAAAATATTTTTGTCACTTTTTGTTTTGCAATGAAATTTACTATTATTTTTTTTTACATTCAATAAATTTTTATATCAAAACTCATTATTCTTTATCATTTTATATGGCTTGATGGGTGTATTCCACCCAGGACCGGTCAAAGTGAGAACTAAATAGTTGACCGGTCAAACGGAAAATATTTGAAAGGCAGACTTTAATCGTCAGCAGAAGGATGCTCGGATGACCAGAAAGTGGACCGGTATATATACTTCGGATAGTATACCGGTCAAACTATTTCATCGCCTCATCCATTCCTTAAATGCGATAAACGTCCCAAGGAAACTACCCGGTGTAGTTTTCAGGGTTAGAAAGCGTCGGCAGAGGAGAATCTAAAAGGGTTTGGACCGTAGCGACCAAAATCAATGGAGAATCGCTGGAGATGTTGGGACATTCCATCCAGGGCGCTACCTGACTAAGGAAGTAATCCTCCTCACAAGATGACAAGGCAGCTAGAGGACGAAGCCCATCACCTCCCACCATCCGAGAACGTGCCTCCACATGGCTGCATGATACTCTGTCCCCCCTTAACCTAGTATAAATACTGCTGTAACCCTCAGAAGGAGGGATCCGAATTCATTCTCTCTACTCCCCTGTAAAAGCACCAGTGCATTCTCTGTCATAATATTAATTGGGCTACAGGTGTTTCCACCTACAGTCCTCACGGTCACTTTGCGTGTTTTTACCTTTTTACTTTATCGAATCAAGTAAACGATTCTAGACCCGGTCTAGAGTAGTTTACCCGGTTAGGTAATTTACACCATCATGGCTTATTTTTAAAAATTCCGGAGGTACTGCTCTCGGACCTCCTACTAATGATGCTCCCATCTAGTTGAAATGAGCTGAATTTTGGGATCTATCATTAATTAAACATTTGTTAAAATAAAATATTTTTTTCATTTTTTGTTTTGCAATAAAATTTACGATTAATTTTTTTTACATTCAATAAATATTTGAAACAAAACTCATTATTCTTTATCATTTCATATGGCTTATTTTAAAAAATTCCGGAGGTGCTCTTCTAGGATCTCCTGCTAATGGTGCTCCCATCTAGCTGAATGAGCTGAATTTTTGGATTTGTCGTTAATTAATCATTTGTTGAAATAAAATATTTTTATCACTTTTTGTTTTGCAATGAAATTTACTATTAATTTATTTTTACATTCAATATATATTTGAAGCAGAACTCATTATTCTTTATCATTTCATATGGCTTATTTCAAAAAACTCCAGAGATGCTGCTCTGGGACCTCCTACTAATGGTGCCCCCATCTAGCTGAAATGAGCTGAATTTTTGGATCTCTCATTAGTTAATCATTTCATAAAACAAAATATTTTTGTCACTTTTTGTTTTGCAATAAAATTTACTATTGAGTGTTTTTTAACATTCAATACATTTTTGAAACGAAACTCATTATTCTTTATCATTTTATATGGCATATTTTTAAAAATTCCGGAGGTGCTGCTCTAAGACCTCCTACAATGGTGCCCCCATCTAGCTGAAATGAGCTGAATTTTTGGATCTGTCATTAATTAATCATTTGTTAAAATAAAATATTTTTGTCATTTTTTGTTTTGTAATAAAACTTACTATTAAGTTTTTTTCAACATTCAATAAATATTTGAAACAAAACTCATTATTCTTTATCATTTCATATAGCTTAATTTAAAACCAAATGAAATTGGCTTCTAATCCAACTCCATGAACATGAAACAAACCCGTTCAGAGGCATGCTACCGATTGAGGTAAAACGTTTGCCCATTTATAAAGAAGAAACAAATGGGTGGGTTAGAAATGGTGTGGGAACAGGCGCCCAAAAGTATGCATTTGATAGAAAAAGATGTTCAATTCTTTGTATTGGGTCATCTAAAATGGGATTCTATCGAAGAGATTCTATCAAAACACGCCATGACGATGAAATAATTGATAATCACGCGAAGGCCAACTCAATGAAACAAACAAGTTTTCTTTTTCTTGGCAAAAAATTGACACGATCTGATATGTTTTTAACTCGAGATCTGACTCGAAAGTATATGATTTTGAACAATAGTTTTAATGGCCGAATCCGAACACGAACGAATTCGAAATGACTCGCTTAAAATACGTCAAACCCGACTAACTCGAACCCGACCTAACTGGCCTGGTAACGTAAGAGTTTTTCAAAATCATGGACTACATTATGAAAAATAATGTACTAAAAATAAAATTAAACTTTTTTCTGAGTACTCATTTTTAGTATATAAACTTATACTCTTAATCAAGTTTTTAATCATATCACGTGATTATTTTTAAACTAATTTTCAATATTGGTACATTTTAATTTTTTATACAATTAGATTGCATGTTTACTATTTACAGAATCAAACTTCATTCACTTTGTTCTCCTATTTGCGCTACTCATTTGATAAAATAATATAGTTATGTCACATCTTATTTTGTAGAGCTTTTGATGTACTCCTTCCGTTCTCAAAAACACTTCCTCTTTCATTTTTTCTACTTCCAACAAAACATTTCCCTTTTCTATTAAAAAACCACTTTTACCCTTACTTTTTCATACCATACCTATCACATCATACTTTTTCTCTAATAATCTATCCATCACATCTTACTTTTACCCATCACATCAAGGGCAAAATTGGAAATCAACTATAATTTAACACTTCCTTATTTTTGCCCCAAATCCAAATGGGAAGTGTTTTTCCA